GCCATTATACAGCGGTGCAGGCCGTCGCTTTGGCCCCGCCCTAATTCCTGCCTCGCACCGCCCCCACCTGCGCCCGCCGCAGGTGGACGGCCACGTGCCCAAGCCGCACTGACGCCCCCGCCGCCATGGACCGTGCAAGAGGCCGCGCGGCGCCCCGCCATCCTTGCTTCCCCATGCACGCACCTGTTGCGCTTTCGTTTTGTTCATTTCATTCGTTGGCTTTGCCGGCCGATTAGCTCATCCATCATCTCTTGTGTACACCTGCCACGCGTCTGCGCACCCCTCTACCCGCCTGTAACCGCCTGTGCACACACAGCAGGATGGTCAGGGGTGCCACCCTACTACATACAACAGCCAAAGCCTGGGATGACCGGGTTGACCAGTCACTGTTTGCAGCAGATGCGGCAGCCTGATGACAGCCTTGCAACCTCGTGTCGACAACAATGGTATTGGGCTGAGTAGAGAGTCTGGTACCGGTAGCCGCGCAACCGTTGCACTCTCAAGGCCGGCCGTGGACGCCCCTAATTGCTGCTGGAGGCATTCAGGACTGTGAAGGGCTCAAGGGGGCCGTGTTGCTGCCTACCGTCTGCTGCACTAGGCGCGCACCCAAACGCAAGCTTGGGAGCACGTGTTTGCAGGCAAGCTCTACCTAACAAGTGGGGCGCATCAGCTGCATCAGCACCCCCAAGGGAGGGGCAGTGCATCCAGATGCCTCGAGCCACCCGGCAATGTGGTTGCCATGAAGAGACTAAGGCACTTCCCAAAGGATGGATCACCACACTTGACCAGCTTTACATGTTGGGCGCGGCGACGCGGCGCGACTCGCACCGCAGGCCGGTGCCGGCGGGCCTCTTCAGCGCGCTGGGGGCGAGCGTGGTGTGGTGAGCAGGGTGCGCACGCGGCTGTCCACACCGCAGGCCCTTTGCGCGGCCCCACATGGGTGGGGTATGGTGCATATGCAGTAAAGAGGCCCGCGACACATTCCAATCACAGCAAACCCGACCAACAAACTTGACACACAGTCAACAAACAACCACTTACTCAGCGGAAGCAAAATACATGCAAAAGGCGTATCGGCGACGATGACCGGCCGCAGCTGCCGCGTCGGGCAGCGCGAAAAGCATTTCCGTGCCTGCACCTGCAGCCCCCACGGCCCACTCCACGGCAGCCCGCTGGCGCATCGCATCACGCCATGACCTCCGCCGCCGCCAGCTGGTCCCGCGGCACCATCCCCAGCACCAGCGCCCGCCTGTGCCCCGCGCCCTCCTCGACCTGGATCCTGACCGCGCACTTGTCAAACACAGCGAAGCGCAGCTTCCCGTCCGCTGACGTCACCACCTGCCGCTCTTCGTCCAGCACGAACTGCTGCTGCTGCTGCCCCTGCTGCTGTTGCTGCTGCTGCTGCTGCTGCTGCTGCTGCTGCTGCTGCTGCTGCTGCTGCTGCTGCTGCTGCTGCTGCTGCTGCTGCTGGTCCTTGCCGCCGTCTTTGGGCGTGAGGTAGACGGGGCCTTCGATACCATAGCGGGGCACAAACACGATCAGGCCGTTGGCCTTGACCTGGCGTTTTCAGCGGCGGGATGGAGGGTGTGCAGTAGGGGCAGGCACTCAAAGACGAGCCCGGTGGTTGTTCATAATTGGTGCGTGCAAGCTGCACGTGCTGCCGCATGCACTGAATGACAGCCGTGCTGTAGCCACCACCGGGACGAACAAAACGAACACACACACACATACACACACAAGCACACTCTCACACATCCCAACAGCCCCAGCGCGCACCTTTGTGACGCGCGCGTCTGCCACCACCTCCCTGTTCCTGAAGAATATCAGCGTGTGCAGCTCCACGCTCGCGCGGCCCGCCATCTGCGCGTTGCGGTGGCGCGCGTTGAGGTTGTCCGCGCAGGAGCGCAGCGCCTCCCTGTCGCGCACAGCGTCCGGCAGGGGGGCCAGGCCCAGCAGCGCCCCCAGCAGGCGGTGCACGACCACGTCCGCATAGCTGGGGTTATGGGTTGATTTTTGGGGGGGCGGGCGCGGAGGGGGGAGAGGGAGTTCGAGAC